AAATACAAAAGTATCATGTATGGATGTATTATGCTACATTTTTGTCTGAAGAAAATTATATATTTGCTTATTGTATAAAGAAATTTAGGTGTGGGGCTGGGGATTTAGCTCAGCGGCATAAGCATCTGCCTTGCAAGCAGGCGGTCGTGAATTCGATCCCTGGTACCGATAAAAATGAAAAAGACAAAAAAAAAAAAAAAAAAGAAATTTAGGTGTGTTGTATGAACTAAAAATGTACCAAATATAATTGCCTTTATGAGATAAATTATATGGGACTGAGGCAGAAGGAATATAGAAGGAAAAAGGACTTTGAGTATACTTTTTTACATGTTTTACATATTTGAAAAAACCAAGAAATGAAGAAAGAAAATCCTAAAATTGAATACAAATAGAAACAAGCCTTACATCAAATTAATAGTGTAGTCAGACAGAAAAATTAAAGAAACTTTTGACTAGTGCACTGTAATTGTACAACTTCAAGGGACACATTTTAAAGTAAAAACACATTGAAGGAAATCATGAAGTTTACTAAGTGGATTAGTATTCGGTAGTCCCACCAGGTAGCATCTGAAGAGGTCCCTTTCAAAGAGGAGACAGTGACTTCAGCTTGCCCCACCTGTGGAGTAGGGTGTAGGTTTGCTGATTTATATTACAGAAAAGAATTGTAAGCAGAGTGTGGTGGCACTCACCTGTAATCCCAGCATTTAGGAGGTTGAGGCAGGAAGATCACTGTGAGTTCGAAACCATCCTGGGCTACCTAGTGGTTCAGGGACACCCTGAACTGCATAGACCCTGTCTCAGAAAAACCCAGAACTCAACAAAACAATAAAAAATGAATTGTCAGCGAGAGGCATAGAAAAATGAGAAGGATACACTCAGAGGGGAGAGTAGACTCATAGATGTCCTGGGTCTGGGAGTATTTTATGTGTCCTTGGGGAAGAGGGGTCCTTAAAACATCTAGTATATGTGTTCCTAGTGTCTATTAAGTTACTTATTTAGTAGGCTAGATCAGAATGCAGACTATTCATGTATGTTTGAAGTTTAGAGACATGCTAACTTCTGTAGTGCTGGTTCCTTGAGGATGGCAGTGTTTGGCATTTGCAAATCCATAATATAGGGGGAATGCATAAGACTAATTTATAGGCTTGTGATATCTCTAAGACCCTTAGGACTTTTTGGAGTAAACTTCCTGGAAGGAGAAAGAAAAGTATTGTAACGTTGGATAACTTTGTTCTAAAGCTTCAATTACCTTTGTTTGTTTGTTTCTTTCTTTCTTTGTCATTTTGAGACAGGGTCTCCCTATGCAGTTCATGTTGGCCTTGAGCTCACTTTGTAGCCCAGGTTGGTCTCTAACTGGCAATGATCTTCCTGTCTTGGCCACCCAAATGCTGAGATTACAGGTGTGCACCAGCACATCTAGCTGTTATTTTCTTTTTTTCTTTTTTTTGACTGAGACTTGAACTCATGACCAGGCAGGAGCTGTGCCACTGAGCTATATCCCCAACCCAAATTTTCTTAAAAGTACAATTGTAGTTAAAATGATTTTCCTTGTTTCTTTTCCACTTACCTTTATTTATATCTTGAGTCCCTTCCCCACCTGCCCCCTTTAAGGGATGCTGAGAGGCTTAAGGCCCAAAGATCCGTTGTCTATGGCTGCTTCAAGATATATGAGATACTGACCCTTCCTAGCTGAGGATTGGCAGTCTAGTCCTGATTTATCTACATGAGACTTAGAAGGATCGAGTTTTGTTGTGTTATCCTTCGGTATTTTGAAAAAGAAGGCAAGGTGGTTAGCAACTTAACTGAAATTTAGAATTGTAGGGAGTATATACATAATTTTTTTTTTTTTTTGGTCTTTTTCATTTTTTACCGCTACTGGGGATCGAACTCGCGACTGCCTGCTTGCAAGGCAGGCGCTTATGCCGCTGACCTAAATCCCCAGCCCCCTATACATAATGTTTTGCATTGATAATAACACAGCTTGACTTGATGCTGTTGAATTGTGAAAATAAAGACTTTATAAGCACCGGGTGTGGTGGTGCATGCCTATAATTCCAGCACTCAGGAGGCTGAGGCAGGAAGATTGCTGGGAATTCAAGGCCAGCCTGGGCTACAAAGTGAGTAGTAGACCAATCTGAACTGCATAATGAGACCTTGTCTCAAAACAAATAAGCAACTCCAACTTTATAAGCATATTAAGCAAGAGCAAAAAATTAAATGTAAAGTTACGGTGAATAGTGACCCCTTCAAGGTAGCAGAAGTCAGACAGAATTAGGCAGCTTTTGGATGAGCCTTTTATGTTTAATACTAACCTCCATTTGTCCTGAGGTGTGTATCCTGTTTTGCCAATAAAAGTATCTTCCAATTTTTAATTACAGTGATGAAGGAATAAATTAAGTGAAAGGGATCTGTGCTCTTGTGTGACCATTGGGCCATTAAAATTCTTATTACAGGGCTCAGAATCTAGGAGTTGGCCCCTGGTTTGTAGATCTAAAGATCTTTGTTGTGATTGGCTCCAGCTAGCACAAACTACAAAGTGTGGAGTAGATAAGAGGAAGTTTATACCAATACAGTAATAAAGCTTAGTTACTAGAATATTTACATTGGCATTTTTGTCTTACAGGCAAACCTATACATGAAGCCCAATCTTTACCCAAGGGATATTTGAACGTACATCAAAATAACATAATGACAGTACCTAAGAAAGGGTGAGGGACACATTGGAAGAGGTAGTGGGACTGGGAATCTGGACCTCTTGTGGTGGTTTTTTATGTTTTGGTATTTTTTTCTTGAGTAGATTTTGTATCAAGTGGTGTGTTTAGAATTTCTTTTTAGCTCAATGTAGCTCTGTTTTCATATTTTTGTTAACAGTATTTACTCTTTTCAGTTATACTTTCTTACTGGATATTTAAAGATCAAGACAAAAGAAGACTTTGTCAATCAAAATTAATCTTTTTCCTTTCTATTAAGGACAATCAGGGCTCTCAGATGCTACTTTTGGGGCCCTGTGGGGAGCCTCCTGGTTCTACCAGTTGTATCATCTGCTAGGATGGGACAAGGTCTTGACCAAGTCACTTCTCTGGAAAGCAAGCAGGATATTCTCCTCTCTGGGGACCCTCCTCTTGCAGAAACCACATTGACTGGCTCCTAGTGGGGTCCTCAGGTTTCCCATTTGAGAGGTTGGTTGATTCTGTGGAGTTCCAGGATCTTTTTGTTCTGTTGGTCCCTGGCTGACTGGCTGACTATGGAAGGTGAAGACCAGAATATTGAGAGTCCTTGTATCATCTTTTTTATTTATTTATATTTTTTTTCTGGTACTGAGGATTGAACTCACAACCTTTCACTTATCAGGCATGTACTTGAGTCTCTGAACTAAATTCCTGGCCCTTTGTAGCATTTTTATAGGTTTTTTTGATTTTTTTACTTTTGGTTTCTAATTCTCAGTTGTTGAGCATCCAAGTTAGTTTACATCACTCTTAAGATGGGAATAATGAGTCCTAATCCTACCTATTGTAATTTTCCCCCCAAATAGTGGGGTATGATACATACAAATATAAAAATGAAATATAAAATGAAACTGAAGAACGATTAGCTTACTTAATGAGGGTTAGCTGTGCTTGCTTCAGCAGCACATATATTAATGAAAGTTACTATTAACAGGAATTAGCATCATATCTGATCTGTCTTACGCATAATGTGTGTCATTTAAAATACTTAAGTTGTATACAGAGAAACTATACTCCTGCAAAATAATAGCAGAAAACAGCCAACAGCAAAAGCAAATCTTTATAATAGTAAAAGCAAATCTAGTACCCTGGGCAAAGAAACATTTATGGGGTCCAGGTCCTCTGATTTTGTTTCTTAGCGACCCAATTGGCATTGGGAATGTTGGATATGGTTAGACTTAATGCTAGAGTTACAGAATCTATAGGTATTAGAGTGTGGGGTACCTGATTTTGGGGCCTAGGTCCCTCTGTTTTGCCTCTTGGCCCTACCCCTGGCATTAGGATGAGATTAGAGATAGACTTAATGTTGAGATATGGGGGCCTGAATATTTGTTAGAGTCCTTTCTGTAAATTTGGCTGCATATATTTTAAAGAAAGTCAAACATAAAGATGAAAAAGAGACAGAATAGGTATCATTGAAGCTTTGAGAAATGTTTTTGCAGCTGACAGCTGCAAATGTATCATATCCAACACTTTAGAATAACAGTTGTGACTGACATTACTATTCCAGGACCATTGACTTTGAAAAATCTTTGCTCAGAAATGATGGTCATAAGACACTTAACGTTACAAAAGTTATGTTTTTGTCATTGCAAGTAATTTTAATGTGAAAGACAACAGTATGGTAAGGTATTTACCTAAACTTCATATTTTAGAAAACTTATGCCTGAGGAGCATAAATATGTTTTAACATACAAAGAAGTTAGCAATAATTATCATCATGGCTTCCTAGAAGGTTTTTTATATATACTAACTTAGCTTCTACTCATGAGGCAAAATTTAGAATCCTTTAACAGGTCTGTGTAGGATAACAACACTGACAGGAGTCAAAGGATAGCTTTAGACCTTCTGTAAGTTCAAGAAACAGTGCTTATGCCTATAGAGAGCCTTATCAAACACAAGTGGATCTCTTTTATACATTAACAAAATATTGTTTAGTTCAACTGAGTAGATATAGATTGTTTTAAATGGCAGGACTGTCCCACTGAGATTTTTTTTTGGCATTGTACCAAGTATAAAAAGAAATGTTAAAAAAAAAAAAAGAACTGTCAAAAGTTTTGATTGTTTTGTTTAAAGTCTAGATACAGTGCAATTATACAAAAGAATATTTATTGATTACTTTGTATTCAACTTATGTACTTCAACTGTAAACTTTGCACATTTACACAAGGCTCACATACAGTCTGTTTAGTACTTAGATGTGTGTATTTGTGTATATCTCTATCTGTTGCTGTGTGTGTGTGTGTGTGTGTGTAGAAAGAACACCAAATGCAGTGTAATCTAAAAGAATTGTTTATTTGACCAGTTATAAATTGATCACTTAAGACTTTACAAAAAAGAAACACCTGAATGACATTTGACTCTCTTAAACTCAATTTCATAAAAAATTAAAATCCTAACAGCAGAAAACGTAAGAAATTATCTTGATAAAAAGTAAAACCTTTCTTTCCTGAGGTAGTTGTAAATTTTTAGCAAGAACACATTGATGAGCACATCAATATTTTTAGTAGGAAACCTTATTGCTTTAAACATAAAGAACTCTTTAAACTTTTAATTATAACCAACTTAGTAGTATGCAATAATCTTTTATGTAGTATTATACATTTAACTCGATAACCTTATGAAGAATATAATCTTAAGCCTTTCCATTTTACATTATTAATAACTCTGAAAACCCAGATATAGTATAGTGTATTTTATAGATCTCAAGAAACTAAGAGTATTCTTTTCTTTCTTTCTTTCATTTTCTTTTTCTTTTAGCGACAGTGTCTCGCTGTGTATTTCAGACTGGCCTTGAACTCACTATGCAACCCAGACTGGCCTTAAGCTTGAGGCAGTCTGCCTCTGCTTCCCAAATGCTGGGATTACAAACAGGTGCCATCACAATTGGCTGTGTTAACAGTTTTAAAGATAATATTTACTTTTATCAACCAATTTAATTTAATTTGTTTGCTAAAGATTTATTTAGGTCATGTGAATAGAAGGCATTTGGGTTAATTATCTGTAAGCCAATTTAAAGTGAATTTTTGGGATTTTAGCAGAATCTGTTTATTTTTAAATTTATTGATACATATTATGTACATGTAATGATCACATTCAACATAGGGAATTTGTACCTGTGCGTGATATATCTTGCTTCCCCCCCCCCCAATGCCTCTTTCCCTCTCTATTTACAAAAGCTTTGTTTCCATTCTTTCCTTTTCTCATTTTTTAAATAATTTTTTAAAGGTTAGTAAACAGAACAATCTGTACATTAACCAATATCATATGTATATAACCCTGATATTACCAAATTTTATAGATTTTATTTGCAAGTGGAATCCAATAATCCTGTAACAGTGACTAGGTTTTAAAGAGACCTCTGTTGAATTTTCTTGTTTTCTTAATCCCAAGCAGATTTGTTAGCTCTTGAATATCTGTATAATTGTTTTTGTTTTGTTTAGTAAGAAATCGAAGCATTAAGCCAGCTGTCTATAAATATTTTTAAAAGGAAAAAACCAAAATCAGTTGAGTTTTAAAACAATGTAGTAAATGGAGCAGTGTAGACACTTTAGCCAGTTATTACAAAAAACACTTAGAAGAAAGACCAAAAAAAAAAAAAAAAAATCAAAAAACCCAGAAACGAACTTATGTGACACATAAAACAATTGCATTAAGTCAAAGTGCACTTCTAGATGCATTGGTCATTTGGAATGTAATAGTTCATTTTTTTGTAGTTTAAATTACAAGTAAAGTAGTCAGAATGCTTCCTTGGCTGTACCAATTCATAAATCATAACAATTTTTATAGCACTCTATAGTTAGTCTAACGTTACAGAATTAAACTGATAAAAGAGTTAGAAGGGGAAAGAGAAGAGCTACAGATTGCCAGATAGAATCTTTGTTCATTTTCTCTTATTGTTTCAAACAAGTCAAATTTGAGACCATGTCTTTACACTCTTTAATGTACACTGAGGACAGGCCCTGAATTAGAAAAATCAACATTGATTAAAGAAAAAAATTTCTGTTTTGAATCAGTTCCAGTTTTGTAAAATATACGCTATGGTGACATTTTGGGGCTATACACTGAGTGATGCATGATGTCCTAAAATAATGTGCATCTCCAAGATCTCCCGTGTATATTTCTGAAAAGAGAAAAGACAGTATTCTTTTAGATGTTTTTCCTTGATCAGATAGCTTCCACTTACCCCAACTTTCTAGGATATGGTAACACTGCTTTTCCTGGGTCATACAACAATCTGACTAATTTTCCTGGGATCAAACAATTTAGCTCAACCTAGTTACCCTGGTATCTGACAACCTGGTGATTTCTAATTTTCTTAAGGTCAGGCAGTGGGCACATCCAAGTTTACCCAGAGATGGCAACAGTACTGCCCCAATTTTCTGTCTTGACTGCTGTCTGGGTGTCCCTGCTATCATGCGGAAATCTGTTTCTAAGCATATCTGGGTTTTCTTGTGTCTTTAATAAATGAGAAAGGAAGGAAAAAAGTCATGCATAAGGGCTATATTTTTCTTAGAAAGTCACTTCTAAGATCTCTAGGGAATGATAAGTTATGTGAAGACTTCGTGGAAAGTCTGCATAGTTACATAAGGAAGTCCAAAGGTTCCTTATTGTAGACTAGTTACAAAGGCTTTCATGTTTTTGTTTTGTTTTGTTTTAAAGTGGGGGAGATAAACACAAGGCTTAGATTATTGCAAGAAAATTAAAAAAAAAAAAAAAACAAAAAAAACAAAGAAACGCAAGAAAACAAACTGACATGAGAGCCCGGTGCTGTGGGAAGTGGCAGAGAAAAGGGTACTAGGACCCTAGGAAACCAAGTATTCAGCTTTGGCAACATTGGAGTTGTCCTGAGCATACTGTGTCCTCACTGCATCCACTGTGCGGTGATGTCATCTCCGGCACTATTCCATTTCCCTTCATCCCCTCTGTGATGGTGCCATCCCTGGTGCTAAGCCTTCTTGCCTTGTATGTCACTAATGGGTAATGCATCCCTGCAGCATGGCCCTACGTGTGTATTCCTTAGGCTTAGGCAGAATCTCCCCTCAGCAGAGCTTTGTCGGGGGAAATTTGGGCCTTGCTTGTATAATGTGGTACAATAAGCCAGGCAGCAGTGGCTACTGGGTGGACACCCAGCTGCTATAGAGAGGTGGAGATCAGTAGACACGCCAGCCACCATCAGGTAAAGTTCCCCCTCCCCCATTGTCACTGACAGTGTGGGGACTTTTTTGCCTCACATCTTAGACACTTCTCTTATTAGGTAGCTTCTTCTAAAAGTGGCTCCCAGTTAAATGTTACTAAGTTTTTGGGTTACTTGCTTCCCTTTCTGCAGGTGGATTCCAGGTTATTGTCTCAAACAAAAAAATAAGTGACCAAAAAGCAGTAGCAAAGTTTATTTGAAAAAATAATAGTTGAGTGTGAGAGAGACACTGGCTCTGCAAAATGAGCTTGGACCAAGTAAAAGAGGAAGAAATAAGAAGAAGGAGAAGGCAGGGTGGGCTGTTGTGAGGAAAGCCATGATAGCCAGCCAGCTCTTCTTGGCATCTGTGACCTTTAATACTGTAAAAATCTCAAGGAAACCTAGGAGAACTTCTACATATGGGTCCTGAGAGAGGGTGCTGGGATCCCATGCCTCAGGCTAGTGTCAGGTCTAGACCATGCTCCTCAGGTTCTCTCCAGAAACTCACATGCCGGGCTTTGGGAACTGTTTGGAGCATGTGTTCTGGGGTCTTGCAATTAACAAGTCATGCCTACTTTCTCAGCCAGCTTTGCCACACCCTAAATCTCCTATCTCACTTGTGCTTGGTCATTTACTGTACCACCCCTTTAGAAACACACAGTTAAATGGTTTATGTTTTCCTTTTAAAGGGCTAGAAATAAATGGCGGGCTCAGACTGGAAGAAGATGAAGGATAGTAAAAAAAAAAGGAAAACTTCATTGAAGAGAAGAAAGAAAAAACTGGGCTCCTACTAGCTTAAGGTTTTTAGGTGACCCAGTCAGGCATCAAAAACCAGTCACCCAATTGCCTCTTTTATTTTCATAATATGGTAGATTCCTCCAGCCCTCCTAAAAAGTAGATTCATGATAATTTAGGGAGATCATGCTTTTCTTATTCTGTTTGGAGAGTGAAAGAAAAAGGGGAGAGATTAAAGATAAACATATCAGTTTGAAGAATTTCCTTTGATCAAGTATGGTTAGGATCCAAAAATGTGCATATTTGGAGGTTTCCCCCTCAGGTGTCACCCAGAGGTTGTTTCCTCATTCTGTGTTTTCAGGATTAGCTTTAACATTTCTGTGTGCAAAAGGTTTTCTCCAGACATTGAGTGGGGCAGTCCACGTGCTTTCCTGGAAGAGCAAGTTTTAAAACTGTCTGACCCAGGAATGGGTTAGATTGACCTAAAGGAATTTCTAATAAAATCACTGCATGTCCTGGGGCATACACCATGACACCTCTTTCCATACCTTCTTAAAGGGAGCAAAACTAAGTTCTTTTAAGTGCTTTTATATGGAAGTACTCATTTTTAGCCAAGCACTTTTTTTTTTTTTTAATGTGTAAGCACTCATTTTTGGAAACCTTTGACTACTAAAAAGGGAAATAATTACAGTGAGAGAAAGCCATATAGAGGGCAGAGTGTTAAAAGGAAAGTAAAACATTGAGCTGAAGTTATCAAATCAGTGCTTCAGTTTACCTCTTACCTAGCTCATCAAAGGAGATATTATCAGAAGGGACCTGAGGAAAAAGAGGATGGACTCATCCATTCCATAGGGGAGGTTGTAGGTTCACTGGCTTAGATCTTTCTACAGAACAGAATTGCAGATTGTGTCAGTGAAAGACATAGAAAGATGTATTAGGTAAAAAGAGAAGAATACACTTGGGAAGCAGTGTAGATGCTCATACATAGACTAAGGTGCTTTATGGTCTGGGCTGGAATGCAAAATATCTGTCAGGTTACTTAATGTGCTAGATCAGAATGCAGACTATTCATACATGTTGGCAGTTTAGAGACATACTGACCCTCTGTAGCTGATTCCTTGAAGATGGCAGTCTTTAGCATTTGTGAATCTGTAGTATGCGGGGAAACACAGGCTCACTTTCCAGGTAAAAAACACAGGCCTAATTTACAGTCTTATTATACTTCTAAGACCCTTAGAAATTCTTGGAGTAAGTTTCCTGAAAAAAGAGAGAAAGCATTGTAACCTTAGGTAACTTTATGTCCAGAGCTGCAGTTTTCTTAACATGTTCACAGTGGGGTCATAATTTGTATGTCTTGCTGGTAGGCCGCTCTGAACCACCAGTGGGACAGTCATTCATATACAACTAGTGGTTCAGACTGGCAGAAATGTGTTAATACAATTTTAAAATTACAATTTTTATTTTCTACTCTTCTAGTTTACCTCAGTTACTACTTTACTAGAGGCATTCTCTACTTCTCATATCTAAGAAAAGAAGTTAGGAACAAGGAAGTTGACAGCAATTCTGAAATTATGTTATGTGCCAGATAGGAAGGAACAAAATAGTATATATGGTAGATTTTGGGAATGAACCATGACACAGTGGGAGAATGATACAGGTAGGTACGTAGTGGTTAATTGTGTTGGAGATTAACTCAAGTTACAATAAAAATTAGTTAGAATGTTTTTAAAATTTAGATTCCTGGCTCACAGATACAGCAATTCTTTTTTTTTCTTTTCTTCCATTAGTTACTTTGGTTGGATCCTAGGAGTCTGCATTAAATTACATCTGTGAAACTGCTTAGAGATTTTCAGGGCCAAGCATCATACAGCTTGACCGGAGCCATTTTTCTCCAGGTTAACCTGGATCTTTATTCTGACTTATTTTCTTGGCATTGTTAGCAATAGAGATCATTCAGATTGTGAGGTTTGAAGTAACCTTGTAAATAAGTTCTTGATGTTTTTTTCAACAGATTTGTGATTACATATGAAAAACACTATTTTAGGTTCTGCATTGATAGGCAATGTCCTTGCCCCAGTGGAACCTATTTCTGCTTTGATAGGAAATACATTATGGAGGAGGAAGCAAATAATTACAGGTGTGTAAGAAATCCAGAGGATGATAAAGAAGTATGTTAGAGTACAATCAGACCTGATTATCACTATCAGAAAGGTCTTTCCAACATAAGTGATGCTTAAACTAAGAGCATATCAAAGCTGACTCAATTCGTTTAGCTAAAGGGGAAGAATAAAGTTGGCATCAGTAATCTCTGTAAGTGTAACAATTTAGGGAAACCTTAGAAGGTGAAAGAGAACATTTAAGGGAATAAATGTAGACAGTGAGGTAGAGTTAGAATTTTGGGTTTTTATTCTGAAATGCAGTAAGAAGTCATTGAAAGGTTTTAAGTGAGGTTCAGGTTTGCATGGCAAAGACCTAACTTCCTACAGAGTAGAGAATGGTGGAAGGGGACAAAAGGATACAAAGGGACAACATTTAGAACGAAACTGTTACATTAATCATAGTAAGACTGGTTCCCTGGCTGAAATTGTAAATACAAGTATAAAATAGCTAGATCTCAGAGGTTATGAGATTTTGTGGTAGATTTGTTGTAGATGCTAAGAAAGAGGGACTAGGAAAGGATGTCTCCATAGGCTTCCAATCGGAGCAATAATGTGAAGAGTATTTGTAAATGAAAAGGGAAAACTGAAGATCACTTTATGAAGGTTGAACATGTTTATGTTGAGATTCCTGGCCGTGTGTGGTTGATAGTTGGAAATACCTATTAGGAAGTCAGGAGAAAGGTGTGGGTTAGTGATCTAGTTAGACTTAGGTGATATAGGTGGTCATTGAAGCTGTGGCTGTTGATGAGATTGACTAGACAACAAATACAGAAATGGAAAAAGGACATGGCAGGAACCTAAAATTTTCCAATATTTAACTTTTTGTAGAGGAGAAAGACCACGTGAAAATTTGTCTTCTAAGTCCACACTAAGCTTTTCACAAAATATTTCTTTCATCTGACCATCTGGATTTGTTTTTACCGCCCATCTTGAACTTCTGAGATAGGGAGGTTAATGACCGCTTACCTGATGGTTTTGCTTTTTACCTGTCTTCTTTTAGAGTTAAATTCAATATTTATGATTTTATTTCCTCTTCATGTCTATTTTAATAGTTACACTTCTTTGCAAACCTTTTAGGAATTGCTTTTTAGATTTACTGTATATGTGTCTTACTCTGTTCAGGCTACTATACCAAAAACCATAGAGTAAGTAGATTTCAAAAAATAGACATTTCTTGCTCACAGTCTTAGAGGGTAAAAACTCCAAGATCAAGACCTGGGAGATTTGCTGACTGAAAACTAATGTTGTGGTTATAGTGAAGTAAGGCCCTATTTCCTCATTCATAAATGGCTTATTGTAGTCTTACCTGATGGAAGACTCAAGTGAGCACCTAGGCTTCTTTTATAAACACTAATCCCTTTCATCAGGACAGCCATCATGACCCAGTCACCTTCCAAAGCCCCTACTTCCAAATATTGTCATGTTGGGAATTTGGTTTTAACTTGGGAATTTTGAGGGGTGCACATTCAGTCCATTGGAAGTTTTAACTTACTGCCCTCTAACTTCAAGTAGTATAAACCATTTTTGTACAGCGTAAGAACTTTATATAAATTGTTCTTCCAGTTGCTTTCACTCATCTTTTGTGGGTTACATTTTACTTTTTGTACATGGTAACCCTATAATTTATAATATTGCATGCTCATTTTCTATATATATCTTGTTCTGTGCTTTTCTCTGTGCCTGTATCTGTCTTCCTCTTTCTGGTGGTGGTAGAGATTAAAATGAAGGCCTTTGTAGTGAGCTGCATTTCCTTTTAAAAAGGATCTCTCTTAAATTGCCCAGCCTGAGCTCAGGCTTGTGAATTCCTCCTATCTCAGCCTCTCAGTGCTGGGGTTACTGATGTAGGGATTACTACCATACTGGGTTATATTTGCCTGGATTTTATTTATTTATTTCTTAAAGCCATTACAGGCAACAAAAAATATTTTAAATTTACCTTCATGTCTGGTATTCCTGGCACTATTTCATTTTATAGATCAAAGTTTCCGTTTGGTTTCATACTTAACAGCTGAAGAACTTATATAATTATTAACCAGCTGATATTACAGGAAATTGTTTCAGCTTTGTGTGTATGTGTGTAGGACCTTAATTTGCTTTCATTTTTGAGAGATATTTTCGCTATACTGTAATTCACATTTTTTTTTTCTCTTTTGAGCATTTTAAGGTATCACTCCACTGTTTTCTGACTTGCAGTTTTGGAGGAGTTTACCGTAGTTCTTATCTTTATTCCTCTATGCATGATTTTTTTTTTGTCTCTAGCTACCTTTGAGATGTTTTCTTTATCTTGGGTTTTAGTATTTTATCTATAATGAATATAGGAGTGCAGTTTTTTTGTGGAGGGAGGTGGTGCTGTGGGTCAAACTCAAGGTCTCACATATGATAGGCAAGCCCTGTATCTGAGCTATACATCTTTCTGCTTAGTGTTTGGTGTTCTTTGAAAATTTTGCATGTGTGGGTTGAAATCTTGCATTCTTTTTGAAAAATTCTTGGCTGTTAACTTTTTCAGACTTTCATTCTAATTCTCTTTGCTTTCTTCTTCTGAAATGTTAATGTATTATTCCATAGTTGTCAGATGGTTTCTTGAAAACATTTTTTAAAAGTTTTATGCACGTGTATGCATTATGTTCTGATCTGTTTTTAAGTTCTCCAAGTCTTTCTTAGTTGTGTCCAGTTTACTGATGAGCATGTCTAAGGAATTCCAATATGTTTTTTAGATTTGGAGGCTGTTAGGAATTAAACCAAGATCTTGTGTATTTTAGGCAAGCACTGGCATATTGAGCTTCACCCCGAGCTGAAAATTACTAATAATCTTGCTTATATTTGTTTGTTTTTTACTAACATTGTTTTCCTTACAGTTTTCATATATCTGGAAATTCCCTTTCTCTTTGTGCAAAATACTGCCCCCACCCTTTTTCCTGCTGGATCCCTTAACATGTTAATCATATTAATGCTTTTTGTGTGATGGTCTGTAATACCTACGCCTGAGCTGTCTCTTGTTTGAATTTGTTGATTATCTCTGGACAGTGGAATTTCCTTTCTGTTCTGTGTCTTACTCTTAGAAATCAAAACCAGGGCTATGTGGGTATTAGGCAAGCACTCTGCCACTGAGCGAAATCAGCAATCATATCTGATACTTTTTGACCCAAGTAGCAGATAACATATGTAGCAAAATGATAGAGACTGAAGCTAATAACATTTGTACTTGTAAAAAGGACAAACATCTTTTTTTCTCAGTCCATTCATGTGGGAAGTTGAGTCAGTCTGTTCTTGAGCAAAATTTGGGTTTTGTTGGTGGTGACTTTGTCTTTAGTATACTACCAACTTTGTATTCCTCCAGTTATAGGTTCCTGTTACTTTGTGCTTGGTCTGAAGTCTAGGTACTGTAGAATTTTTTCATTTTTCCCTCTCTTTAGATTTAATTGTGTCTTCCCACCTTGCTGTAGATGAGAGTATCTCTCAATGCTTTTGCCCCTCTGTCAGTAACCTGCTGCTGTAAACTAGAACTAGGTTTTTGATAGGAGCAAGGGGTTTCTCTATTCTGTTGATACAGCCTCAGGCCCCTGAACTTGAGGGTCAGTCCGTGTTGTGCCCCCCCACCCCAGCGTTTCTTTCCCTTAGTCCCGACTAGCCTTGTGTCTGTAGTTGCTTTTAGATGGGAGGTTCCTGTTCCATATCTGTCTGTAGCAGACCTCTGTTACAGAAAGTAAGGGGTCCTGGACTGAAGGTTGTTTTGTCTACCTCTGTGAGGGCTAAAAAAGATTTTGGTTTTGCCTTTTCTAGCACACCAGCAACTCTTTACTTGTGTCCTGGGAAGGAGTTTCCTATCTTTCCCTAGAGACAGAAGTCTTTTGTTTCTATTCTTCCCCCAGAAGTAATGACTCTGCCAGAGTTTTATGGTTGAGAGATTTTGCTACCTCTACTTCAAATTTATGTAATTTTTTTTGTCTTTTTTTTTTTTCTTTGTAATAGTTTTGAAAGATTGGTGGGCTTTGTAGCTTCTTTACCCCTAGTCTCGTAGTGACAATCACCTCTTTCACTCCTATCACTAAGGGAGACTTTTTTGGTTCACTTAACATCAGTCTTTCTAACTGGTAATAAAGGCTTCATGCAGAACAATTGAGTAGAACTTCCCTTGTTCCTGGAGCTCTTGTTATCCCAAACTGATTTGGCTTTTAAAATTTGAGCTAATTTTTTTATTACCTGCTTAATGGTTGCCAATTTTTATGTTTATATTTTTGGGTTTGTTTTTTTTTTTTCCTTGTTTTCTGTGCTCTGCCCAAGGTAAGAAAGCTTGACTGTCCAGTTTCTCCTTGCATAGCCTTTTCCCTCTTAGGAATGTAGCTTGCTTGGCTGTCTTGCAACCTGAGCTCTCTGGTGTGCTCAAAAATAGGTACTCTTCCCCCTCTCTTTTTTTTTTTTTTTTTTTTCTTTTTAAAGCTTACTCAGTATTTTCATGCTGTTTATATCTCAAGCAAAGAGACTTTCCATTTAAAAGTTTTAAATTGCTACTTTGGTAATAAGATAGTGCATTTATATTCTGTGTATAACTTTTCAAAGTTTTTAAATCCTAGAATTGCCCTTTTGAGAAAGAGATTTTACTACAGATATTCTTAGATTTCTGAATTTTATATTAAAAATAAAATTACCTCAAAGTTGCCATTGAAACAGTGGTAAATCACTTGAATCATCTTGCCACCAAATCCCCCACCCTTTGGGAACAAACAGAATTATTTGGGAGTAAACTTTGGAACCTATAATTGAGAAGATAAGGACTTTGAGTATTTTTTGTAAGAACTGAAGTTCCACGTTTTCATGAACAGATTTTCTATTTCATAGACTCTTTAGATTTCCAGAGACATTTTCCTGCCACCTGTTTATTCCTTTCTGATACATTTAGGATACTAGACCTTGCTTGTCCTCTGTTGCTAGTGTCTATCTGCCCCTACCCTCTCACCTGTCTCTATCTCCCCCCACTGCCGTGTATTTTCTTACAAATATAATAAGAACCTAACTGGCCTTTTTATTTTTTCTGGTGATGCTGGCGCTCAACCCAGGGTCTTGTGTGTGCTAGATAGATGCTCATCTACTGAATTATACCTTATCTGTTAACATTTTTAAAAACTGAAAAGGTGGTACACTTGTACCTTGTACCGTTTGGACCTAGCAGGAAGTTTAAAAAAACAGCAACAAAAAAAGATAATAGTTATCACCTAAAATCCCACACAGAATAACTTCTAATATTTTGCATTCTGGTTTGTTTCTAAGAATAAGTAAATTTAAAACTACAGTTAAATTCTTGGTATGTATACAATTTTGTATTTAGCATTTAATATTTAATATTACCTCACAGGCATCTCTCTGCCTTACAAAATGATCTTAAACTTTTACATTATTATGGAATCCACTAGAAATTACCTTTACTTGTTACCTTTGTAGTATTTGTAATTTGAAAGTCAGAAAAATTTAAAGCTTATTTTGAAAAGCTTATTCTATTTATAATTATATCACAAGGTATAGAAATAGTTGTTTTTGATTCTGTTTTTAAAGATGGGTTTTTTGGATTCCATTGACCCAGTGGCTTTTCTCCTTTAATTTCAGAATTCCATACGTCATAATCTGTCACTCAACAAATGTTTCCTTAAAGTGCCTCGATCCAAGGATGACCCCGGAAAGGTAGGATTCATTTTCTTAAAACAAAGCAGTTGTATTTTCTATATGTCTCTGGTCATGTTTGAATCTTAAGAATTTGTCTAGTTGATCAGGAAGTTTTGTGAAATAGCACCCCTACCCTATCTCATTTAGTTGGTATGCTTCAAAGACCAACCAGTTAGGTAGAGCTTTCTTTTTAAGCATTAGGAAATTAGTTAGAGAGCTAGTGCTTTGTTATTGTTTATGCATTCTAATTCTAATGTGGTCTTTGATTGCTTTAAGTGTTGTGTATTGAATCAATACAGTGTTTGAATTGCTTGTGAGGAACCACATAGATCTGTGTGTAATTTACAAAAGGAAAAGTATTCTAACTTTGAAATAAAGTTGTTTCTATGTTAATATTCTGTTTTCTTAGTGGCTGTGTTTTCTTCTTGATTCTGTTTATCTTCTGTCATCATCACAGTTTCAGCATTTTATCTACAGAGACATTTTTGTTTGCTTCAATAGCCATGTCAACTGTGATGTGGCCTTAAGTTTGTATAGTGGCTTAGTTTCTAAAGCTCAGAGTACTTGGTTGGACCATGTTTGGTTGATAATTTACCATGATAATTTACTAGATTACGATTTCAAGACAGGATAACTGTTGGCAAGATACCTTCTTGTTGGGGTGATTAGGCTTTTTCCTTGTCCCTGGAAGAATATTTCTAAAACAAAGATGTGTACTTTGTTATAAAATATCATCTTTTGTTTTTCTGATGTTACCATTCCAGCTGCAGTTTACTTTATTCAAGGCTCAGTGTGAGGAACATCTTGAAGTTTTTCAAACATAACTTTCATGTGGTCTTATTGCATCTTTTTCTGTATTTCTCTGGCCAAGTTCTTTTCTTTGAAAATTGGGTTACAACATTAGGTCTTTGAAGCTTTGTTTTTCCATACCTCAGTTGAGTTTGTTGTTCCCTTTTTTTGGTCTCTGTTTCTTTGTAGCCTTTTCATTGTTACAGTACCTCCTAACTTGTCTGTTTTTTTGGACTCCCTTGCTCCAATTTATAGTTACTTTCACACAGTAGTTGTCAATTTTAAGAATGTTAACTACAGTGATCATACAGTGTCTGCGTTCTCCAACTTTTAATTCTTCTTTGCCCTTAGGTTAAAGTCTAAACATATGAGGTTGTAGGGATAACATGTACTGTGCTCACTGTTTAGCCCCAGTCGCTTGCACAGTGGCTGGTAGCACTGAGGCATCCTGGTATGACTGTATTGGGGCCTCTACCAGACTGTTAACTTCCTGAGGTTATAGATGGAGAATTTTTCATTTCCGTGTTAAAGTACACTCCTGTGTAATACTTTATAGCACTTTGAGTGATCTGACCAATCAAATGGTTATCAAAACTGAGATTATTAAAGTCTTATTTTTTTGCCTATATTTATAACTAAGATGTGACAGCAATTGGTGGCAAAATTCTTTTCCCTTTAATACTGACTTATTATCATGAATTAGAATTTTCTATATATCTTTCATTATAATTTTTATAGTATATGTAAATCATATTGAAAAATATTTTATTAGAAATCTGAAGGCTAATTGGCTTTTATAAAGAATTAGTTTCAGTTTGATTTTTTAGAAAATTAAAGATAGTAGAAATGAAAAATTAATTCACATGAATCGTATTATATATTAAATTTTGTTCAATTGAAGATCCATTTTAAAAACTTATGCTGATAGGCTAATGTTCTTTAGTGAGAAGTTAAAGCTGTTCTAGTTAATGAAATAGTATGATGCAGTAATGCAGATGGGGAAAACATATTACTCTTTGAAGTTATTCTTTTGGAATAATGCTTATGCAACTGATTCTTATTGCAAGAGTAATGTGTAACTGAACAAAATACAGAAATGAATTGACCCCTCAGATTAAGCACTTGAACTTTTACCATTAGTGTCCAAAGTTAAAGTTGGACAACAACAACAACAACACATCGTTGTTCCCATTTATTTTGGTCACAAATGAATATCATTTGATCTTACGAAGAACACTTACAGAAATGGAGTCACTTTTATTTTTGGTCTCAAATGAAGTTTAAGCCATTGTTCTCATTGAATTTTGGTGAAAAGTAGATGTTACGAATATGATTTTACAAAATACATTTATCTGAGTTGAAAATCTTTTTTATGTCACAATGAGATTTTGTTCAAAAAGAAAGCAAAATTCCTTTGCTTTTAAAATGCTTTGAAAGCCTTACTTGTATCCCGTTTTATAAGAGTAAAGAAACTAATGCCAAAAGATAAGAAGTGAGTTAGATTTGTTGTGGAGTTAGAACTCAAGCGTAATAGCCAGACTGACTTGTTAGTCACAGAAACCCATTATAGATTGACTTATGGGGTATTTCAGGAGAAAATGAAGCTAGGTTCTTAAATTATATCATCACAAGTGTTTCTTTCCATTCTTGAGTTTTGCTGCCTTTTCTGATGGCTTTCTTATTAGCCTAGTTAATGGAACAGATGGCTATTTGCAGTTTCTGGTTTATGTTCTGTCAGTTTAAGTAACTGTAGGAAGAGTATATCTTTTGGTTTTCTTTTAGTGCCCCAGCTCATTTGGAATTACAGCAGAAGTCTTAGAATAAATGCCAAGAAAAAAATCTTGGTTTGTAGACTAATACTTTTTTCCAGTATACCAATCTTCTTTGAGAGAGAGGCCAAAATGTTAGTTAAGTTTTGGTACTTATGAATTGTTTTTTCTTTTTGTATTACAGTGTTTCCTGGCAGTTGAGGAGCTTTTCCAAAACCACCCTCACCACAGTGGGAGAAAACCATTGAGCCAAGGTGGGGTGGGAGTAGATTTTTGGTATGATTCTTGGGTATGGGGTGGACTTTAACTCCTTAGGATTTTGCTAGCTGTGATCCTGACCCCAATAGGTCCAAGAAAGTAGAACTAACTCATATAGCATCTTCTTCTATATATATTTTCATAGTATAGCTTCCTGTTCTTTGTATTACCAGAAAGGTACAAAGACTAGCATAGACTTGAAGTGTGTTGTTGAATTATAAAGGTTTTATATGACTACTTTTTTTCTTGCTCAATTCTTCATGTAAGAAATCCACGTCATAAAAGCCATTCAGGTGCCCTCTCATGTACATTGATGGTCTGAAAGCCATTCACCTCTGTTTCTTGAAATTTGCTTCAAATAACTACATTATTGTTGCCTTTAAAAAGAAATACAACCAGGTATAGTGGCACCCACCTGTAATCCCAGCATTTTGGAGGTTGAGGCAGAAGAGGACTGCTATGAATTTGAGGCCAGTGTCTGCGTAGTGAGTTCAGAGTTAGCCTGAACTATTAGTGAGACTCTGTCTTAAGAAACCAAACAATAAAATAAAATACATACATACATACAAGGAAAAAAAGTACAAAATAAAATTATATTTTTTCATTCATGATTTTTCTGCTTTTGTGGAGGTGTAGATTTCTTTATCCTCAGATGTAACCCTTTTCTCCCTGCCTATCCTCCCATTTGTCTTCATTTTTAAAATTCTGTCTCTTACTATTTCTGTTTTCTTCATTTTTGCTGACATTTTGATCTAAACCTTTTTTGTCTTTTTATTGTGTAATGTATAATACTTCTTAATTATTTTGAAGATCAACATTTTGCTCACATTATGCAAGAGAATCAGTTAAACTTAAAGAAAAAACAGTTCTCTTTCTTTGCTTTCTAGCTTAATGTTTTTCAGCCTTCTTTTTCTTACTCCAGTTAGTGGAAATGATACTTTGACTTGTAAGGAACTAAAGGATCATAGGAAATAATTTCAACAATTGCATAAACAATTAATGACATACAGCTTCTAACAGAACTGAGAAAATTAGCTAAGAAGTTTAAGGCCAGCTATTAACTACAGTTAATTCAGGGTAAACAGAAGAGCTTTTTGTTTTGCTGGTGTTGGGAGAAAGGTCTTTATTACCTGGACAGGAGAAATTATAAAAGTTCAGTGACTGTAAAGATTGGGGTTTCTTGGTTTGTGGGGAAACAAATATTGTTAGAGAAATACCTTTCAAAATTTCCTACATATGGATGAAATTGTCAGCTTTCGTAGTTTTAATTTATGGTAAGAAACCAGTTTGAGCGCTGGGAAGAGAACATGACCAAGCTTGGCTGAGGGACCAATCAGAACAAAATTTGGATAGATTTAGGAATTAGAAAAATTAATATAACTTGGGGACCAAGAGTAAAGAAATGGATTTGGGCCAATGAGTGAATGTCAAGGCAAAGATGGGTTATGAGAATAAGATAAGTCATTAGACAAACCAGGGTTAAAAAGCCAAGAGTGAGCATAGATACTCACAAGATTTGAAAGATTGAATTAGGTAGAAATGGGGACTAGATCAGTGAGATAACTTTGCAGAAACAAAAGTGCTGTACCTGTACTAGAGCCCTGATGTTGTACTGCTGGCCAGAGCAGTTTAGTTGCAGCTGCTTTATATTTACATATGCAGCATTTTCTGTTCTAAGGCTGGAAAAGAACATTTTGTTGTTGTTGGCCTTTGTAGTTTCCTTTTAAAGATCTAAACTACTTTTAAAAAGTAATATTTAACTCAAATTAATTTTTAAAAATTACATATAATAAAACACTATATAATTTTAGTGTATAATTCTGACAGTTTTGGCAAACACACAGTACAACCATTACTGTGATCAAGGTTAGAATAGAACTCTTCATTGTCCTTTGGTAGTCATCCCTTACTGAAATTTCCCCAGACCCTGCAACTAGTGATGTTTTCTGATCTTATAATTTTACCTTTTGTAGAATGTCTGAAAATAGCACTCATGTAATAGGTGTTCTTTTGAGTCTGCCTTCTTTCTTTTAGTGTAATGCATTTGAGATTCAAATGCATGTTGTAGACATCAGTTAATTCCATTTTATGGTATATATTCCATTGTATAATTTACCATAGTTTAATCCCTATTTGAAGACCATATAGTTTGTTTCTAGTCGTAAGTTCATTTGACTGTCAAGTTCTTTTCTTTTAGGGTAA